TATTTTTTGTTGTATTGTTGAATAAGCGGCAAAAAACAATATTTTAGCACAAAAGAGTATTGCTTAAAGAAAAAAGTTCTTAGTGGAAGAAGTATAGTTCTCTTGAAAACAAATACAATATTTCCTATTTCAACCAAATGCTATGAAAATTATTTATATTTTTGCAATTCATTCAAAATACATCACAATAATCCCAATAGCATGTCAATTTTACATCAAAATCTGGTAGCTTCTGATACATGGGAGGGGATGCAAAACGCGCACACCGTTTGCGGCACACGTGTTTAGTACGTTTTGTATCATTGCAACTTGCAATTCGCCATTTTCTAGGGGCAGTGATATAATATTATCATTCTATTATAGGTATTTCTAATATATTATTTTGCCGGTTGTGTTTTATTGTGGCGTGTTGTATGTAGGGTTGGGACAGTTGAAATTTTCAAATGAAAATTTCAACTTTGAAAGTTTTAAACTTGAAATATTTCATTTAGTTGGAAAAGTGAAATTTTTAAAAATTTCAAATGAAATTTTCAATTCGAAAATTTCAACATTGCCTGTGAAAGTTTCAGAAATTTCATTGAAAGTTTCGCAATTTACTGAAAATTTCGCCGAATCGACCAATAAGAACGAGTTATCAAGCGTCTGGGCGTTTTTGTTTAGTTCGGCTTGGATTTAAATACACTATAAGTAATTATTGTTACTTATACGCATAATAGTATATTATGTATCAAGTTTTATAAACGCCATTTTATACACGAATTTAATTTAGGCACGAGCGAGCTTGCGAGCGAGTGCTTAAGTTAATGAGTGTATAGAACAGTTTATAAACGGGGTGCATACTATACTTTTTCTACGACAAATTTAAATCAAAAATTTGTATAGAGCGCCATCTATGAAACAACAGGGGAAACTGTCAAATGTCACCTTTTTACATTTTATAAACACAATTATAAAGGTTATAAATCGAAATATATCTTGAAAATTGACAGTTTTTTACAGTGAAAGTAAAGGAAATGTTTTATGAGGACTTTACAGTAGAGTCCGTGCCCGAATTTAAGTTATAGTTTACTGCCGGCGAAATTAAAAGGTCAGTACAATGTTCATATAAACTTTTCAAATATTGGCGTTGAGAAACTATTTAATATTTTTGTATTGAGATAATAAAATAATTTTCACATTTAGTATTATTTTACTAGAAAGGCACTTTATTTTAACGATTGTATGACATTTGAGAACTGTCAACTAACTTAAAACTAAATTCAGCCCGTGACTAAAGCGCTGTAAAGCCACAACTTGTCAATGTGTATTTAAAAGGTCACTTAATGTCATGGAAACATGTACGATAAAGGGCGTTTTAAAGGTGGGAGTGGAAAAATTAATTTAAATAATTTAATTCAGTTACCACTTTAATTTGTAAATGAAATCAGACTTTAAATTTTTTTTTTAAAGTCATGAATAATTTAAACTTTTACTTTTGCTATAATTGCATCGGAAAACGGATAAAAAATGCATTTGGCTCATAAAATTTTGATGAAGTTTCTTCAATTTTCGTTTAATTTCAGTAAAATATTTAAAAATAATAAATAAATAAATATAAAACAATGAAAGTGGCACAATCTCATTAGCTTACCAAAAAGTGCTATATCTCTTTTAGTTTTAGTAATTTTAAAAATATTTTAAAAGGAAATCTCAAGAAATTTGTGGTAAACATAGGTATTTACTATTTATATTATTGGTGCAGGGGTAGGAGGTAAGAGAGGCAATTTGCCATGGTCCCCGAGTGGGCTTATTTCAATATTAATATATTACACTTAAAGTGATTGAAATTTATTGAAAGTTTCAATAAATTTCATAATTTCATGAAATTTCGCAAATTTAGGAAATTTTAATAAATTTCATATATGTCATGAAAATTTCAAGTGAAATTTCAAGTACAAGCAAAAAGTGAAATTTTCCCAACCCTAGTTGTATGTACTTTCACAGTGGAGTTGGAATCATTAAAACTTATTTTAAATAAATGAAATTTAATTAATTTGTTTAATGTGTTTGAAGGTAAGGTATTAATTAAAATATGTAATAAAAATGTTATGTTAAATCATATTTATGTTACTTTATTAGTTTTAATATAAAAAACTTCCGCTTTTGTTGATATCAAACAATAAATGTCTTATTTTATTTAAATATTTTTTGTAAACCTTTTTTCAGTCAATCTCCCAGTTTTCAAGGATGTCAATATTTAGGCTTGAACTCCCCTCACTACGAATGTCCTTGATTTTAATTGTTAAATGCATGTTTCAATAATTAAAATCAAAAGGCCTATGTGGTGAGGGGAATTTAAGATTAAATACTAACAACGCTGGTAGTATCAGTGAAGATCAAAAGCTTTTGAATAAAGCTATTGGACCAAGAGATATTTGCTCTAAAATCAAAATAAAATGTGGTTAAATCAATAGTACATAATATAATAATAATATGTACATATATACTTTTGTACACTGAAAAAAATTTGTTGTAAAATTACATAGAAAATAATGGGTTATTTTATACCCATTATTTTCCTTGTAAAATTGCATCAACTTTATAATTTAAAATTATTACAATATTGTTGTAAAATTCAAAATTGTAAAATTACAATAATGTTGTAATGAATATTTTTTTACAATTTTGTTGTAAAATTAAAAATTGTAATATTACAATAAAATAGTACTTTTAAAAAATTTACAAATTTGATGTAAATCACAAATTGTAAAATTACAAATATAAGCTAATTAATTGTTTATTTAAAACTTTTTACAACTCTTCTTAATTTTGGTCTGCTTTTATTTTTTTATTATTTTAATTTTTGTATGGATCTACCACAATAATAAAAATTAAGCACAGACCAAAATTAATACAATTTCAAGGAAAATATGACATATAAAAATACATACTTCTAAAGTTAAAATAAAATAATTGTTTAAATAAAATGGCAACTTATCAAAAAAATTAAAAATGGTAAATTTAAAAAGAGCTCATTAAAGAAAAACTCGTTAAAACTGAAACAAATTTTTTTAACTTAAACAAAATTCACTATTTCATAAATTTACCATTTCAATTTTTTTTAAATTTATTTATTTAAGTTAATACCTTTTTTTTCATTTTCCACTTGTCAGGATGTAATTTTAAGTAATATCTTTCGATAAATTTCTAAACACAAGAACCTTTAGTTGGGTATTTTAAAATATAGTCCAAACATTAACTGAAAAGCTTAAAAAAAACTTGCACATTGAAGCAATCTTTTTTTTTCAATATAAATATAAAGTTCTTTAGCTGGAACAGAAAAATATGTAAATATAAAAAAAATGTAAATATATTTACACTTACCTATCTTTACAATACAAGGAGACTGTGACTTTAAACAGTCTAACTCATCAGATTCTTCGTATGAAATCTAAAATAGAATATTTGTTTAGATAGGTGAGCACCTATATACTATTATAAGTTTTTTTATTTAATTTAAAAATTTAAACTTAACTACATTTATTTAAAAAAAATATCGCTAAAAAGCATTTAACGCTTTGAGAATATTCAACATCACTGCAATGTGATTGTTTAATGTGTACATATAATTTTTATAAGTTAAAAATTCCATTAAACAATCTTTTCTCAAGCTTTTAGAATGCGATTTATAATTAAATATATGATATTTTAAATGATTATTATATCGAATAATTGCTTTAAATGATAACTGACAAATATATTACATTTGTAAATTATACTTACCAAAATAAAAAGGAACAAAACGGCACACGCTTTAAGAAGGGACACGTTCTAACCAAAAAGGCATTGATTCGATGCAAAGTTGTCGGGAGCGTCACGTGATATATTTATCTTATTTGATTGGTCGAACTTTACAATTAGTTTGTAAAATTACAAAAATATTATTATGTTTCTGTCACGTGAGTATTTTGCTTTATTTCATTGGTTGTTTTTTTTTTACAATAAACTTGTAAAATTGGAAAAGGATTAAAATAATACAAAAACAATGTAATTTCACACACAAAAAGTAAAACTAATAAATATTTTTACAATGATATAGTAAAAATGTTAAGTTTTTGTAAAAATAACAGAAATTCCTTGTAATTTTATTTTTACATGTATTTCATGATAAAAATACCTTGAAAAACCAGATAGTTTTACAATAAAATTACATACATTTTTTTCAGTGTAGCAAGACAAATTTTCTTTCTTAGAAAGTTCCTAAGCTTTTCAATTAAGAGATGCAGTTTTCTTGTTAAAATCCCATTTTTTGCGCTAAAAAACGTTTTCTTCATTCAAAAGAGAAATATCTTCCGAAGAAATATTTTTGGTTCATATACCGAGAAAACGCTTGCTCTTGATATAAGCTAATACTGTAATATCCTTAAACGAATAGATAAATCTCTCCCCTCATGTAAATTTAGTTTCTGATTTAGATTAAGAAACATAGCTCTTGGCCCTATTCAAAAGCTCAAATCTTTTAAATCAAAGTGATTTTCATTTCTTTTAAGAGATTATTTTTTTCAGTGTATGATATTTCAATGCGAATTAAAAATGTGTTTAACTAAAAAATACAAATATAAGAAACAGATATTTCAAATTCACACACAAGTTTAGCATACAAATTAAATTAAATTTTTAAATATCTACTATTTTTAATTTGCAGAATAAAAATTCTTATATGAGTCTTTTATATAATTGAAAATATCACTTAAGTGTTAACACATAAGAATAATTCCTGAATAAAAAATAAAACGTCTTTTTGTAAATATGCTCATTTCCAAAACTAATACAAACCTTTTATCCTAAAACAATGCTATAACAATTGTGATTTTGCAAGAAATAAATACTATAGTAAGGTGTAGGTATTGGGCGTATATTTCTCGGTAAACCTTGATGTCAGTTTAACAAATTATATTTCAATCATGACAATTACACAAATTATTACTATAATTACTATACAGGATGATTCAAAACATTTATTAATTTTTATTTTTTACATGGTTAATTTTTTCTTTTAAAGCCTGACAATGTACAGGTCCGCCGTAAACATTACAAAGTAATCTTCTTTCTATGTTAATAGATTCGTCAAAATTTTCCGTGGTGGCAGAATATACAGCCTTTTTAAAATTCTGTATTACGACTGTGTCTAATTTTAAATACTGTCTTAAAAAGTCCATCGTTTCATTTAATTTATCCTCGGTAGAGACTATTTTCGTTGCTAATCCCATTTCAAAACTTTTATTTGCGTCAAGAAGTCTAGGGTTCAGCAATAAGTCCAAAGATTTTCTCTCCCCCAAAAGCTGAACTAACCTATAAATCAAAATTTAATTATGAAAGTGGCTACTGCCACGCCAGGTCGCGTCTTATAACCATGGAGACTACACAAGGGGTCCGAACTTCATTTATACAAAATAAGAGGGCGCTGGTGTTCTTTTGACAATCAGCGCCCCTGGTGTGCCCTGTGTAGGCTACATGCTTATAATTAGATTATTATACATAATTTCAGACACTCAAAAAAACTTTCCTGGTGGTTCCTCCCCATGCCGTCACAAGGCCAATTTTCCCGTGCACAAAAGCAAACTTCACATTATCAGCTGCCAAAATAAAATCGGAGAAAACCGCGATCTCAGCCCCACCTCCTAAAGTGGGCCCGTGTATTAAACTCACAGTAACCATAGGCAACTTTCTATACCTTTTGAGCACGTCCTGCATAATTGAACTCAAATAAAAACCATCTTTTTTGCTGCTACACTTTCTGGTGTAAGCCAAATCACCGCCAGAACAAAAATTCTCGTTCAAGCCTGTCAAAATGACAGCTTTGCCATCGGGCCAATTTTCCAACTCCTTTATGGCTTTTCTGAAGTCCACCATCATTTTTCCTGAAATGTATGATAATAGTATTAAGTCTAGTATTTATTTTTTTTGAAATGGGTTAATTAATTACCAGACATTGCATTTTTCTTTTCTGGATAATTTATATAAATTATGGCAATTCCTTCACTCCAATACTCTTTAGAAATAAAAACTTCACCGCCAACAAATTTCGACATGTGTAATTCTATTTCATTAAAATCTTCAATAAACTCCATTTTTACCTAAAAATAATAATTTACCATAATATAGTATTTATTTTAATTACAAAATAATTAAAACATACTAACCTTAACAGTAAACAATCTAAAAACAAAAATATCACAATTTCGCAATCATTTTACCATATGTTAAACATACTTAATAAATAATAAAATATAACAAAAAATCGCATTTAATTTAAATGCCATATCACCTTTTAAAACATTTTACGTATAGTTCTACAACTTTTTAAATATTCATCCGTATGCAACCTAGATTACTAGCCAGTGCACAGCGGTTGCACTATTTTAGAATCTATTTATATATCTATGTAAAATTGCAGTACCTACATAGAAAATAAAATACATTTTGAATTTTAATCTTTACCCACGTCAATTTATTCCTTCGGTTTTCCACGCTTAATTGCCATTTTAAATCAAGCGCCTGTCAACAAGTTTTTTAGAAAAATGTACGCCTTTTAAATGCAAGCATATGTTTTATCTTGTTACTAGATATTAGAAATAATTTTTAATAGTGCAAAGTTTTATGCACCTGTGCCTAATATTGCATAGTTTATATTAGCCTATTTATAGTTTTATTAGCCCTTTTTAGTTGGAGTGACATTCCAATTATTATTTTAATTTTCTCAAAGGCTGTGTGACAAACCAAGGTATTAGTTTTTGCAATAGTGAATAAAATTAATTATTAAATTATTTAGAATTTCCCAAACGCGTAGGTTTAAGTATCAATTAATTTTACTTATTTTTCTCGACTTAAAATGGCAACTTCTCGCAAAATATGTACGCTACAATGATTATTATTATTATAATTAAACATAAACAACTGTTTATATAAATATGTTATAATTTTGTTTTTTTAAGAAACAAAGAACGAATTTCTTTGTTAAAATGCAATGTTTTTTAAAATTTTAAAAAGTTACTATAAGTAGTATATATATTATTATAATTATCTATTTTGAGTTCCTAGTCAATTGGAGCATACTAGAAATTTACTTTGCATGAAAACACTAAATATGTATGAAGAACTAATAAGATAATAATAATATAGACTTTATACATAAAAATAAACTTTTATAAAAATGTCTATTAAGTATTTAATATTAGTTTTGCCATACCCTTTTAAGAATTTCAAAAACATAAAATATAAGGAACATAGTTATATATACATTTCTTATGAAAATTATTTTATTATCTCAATACAATAATTCAAGAAGAATAGTTTCTAGAAGCCAATCTCAGCCCATGCAGCATTAATTAAATTTCGGGGAGTACACATAAAAAACTGCTTCTAAATCGGATTTAAATGGTTGTTAGTCCATTTTCAAGGGAGTCAGTAAAACAGTTTCCTAACACCAGTTTGGTTACTTTATTTTTGTATGGATTTTACGGAAAAACGTCATCCTTCATAAAAACTTTAAAAATGACATCTATAAAAAAAATTCTGAATAAAATTTACAGGGTGCTCAGAAAATATAAAAACATAAAAATTGTTTATTAGGGGAAGGTGGGGGAAATCTGCGCATCTAAGCAAAATCTCTAGTATCTTTGTTAAGTTTAAATGTGAAATTTGCAATTAATACCAGCGATAGTCTACTATGTTTACTATGTGTATATAATGCGCAATTTATAAAAAAAATGTTTGGTATGCAAAAACTACATTTTTTTTAAATAATGCATTTGCGCAAAATTACCCACCTATCAGGGTAATTTTGCGCATCATAGGGGGAAAATTTGCGCTGTATAGAGAAAGATTTGTAGGTATCTAAATAAACCGTTTATTTCTATAATATTATTATATTTAAACATAAAAATAAAACAAAACTATTTTCTCTATGAAACAAACAAAATCAAAAATAAATAACTAAAAATAAAATTTTTGTTCTTAGAAATAAGAGGAGGGTCTACATGCAGCAGTTGTCACATATGTAGTTTTAGGGGTTGTTTTATAAACATTTAAGCGATTGGACAGAAATTTAAACTTAAACTCGTAGGGGAAACGACATGGATTTAAATCCATGTCGTTTCCCCTACGTTGATCTAAAAATTCTTAGATCAACGTACATGTATCACAGTTAGTTAGTGACCATGGCCACTAGCTAAAAGCTATAAGCTTAATTGTGGTACACTTTAGTCCCCGTATACCCAAAGCAACGTTTCCAAGTTTGCAACATTCAAAAAATGTATTATTTACTTCATATCTGAAAGAATTGTTTATGCGTAAAATTACCCACCGCGCACAATTCCCCCACCTTCCCCTAATAATTTTATTGAAAAATTTTATTAATAGAAAGTCGATTATAATTCAAATTAAAGTTTAATTACGAACTTTATATTTTTTTTATCGATGTGGCTCCCGTCCCGAGGCGGGACTTAACTTCGATCCCGACAGACGTCACACACTGTAAATCCGTTTTTATTCCCCGAGCTTTTATAATTGGTGTCAAGCTGGATGGCTTAGATGGTAGGGCGTGTGTTGTTGAGTTTGGGTTGGTTTGGTTTTATGACGTAACTAATGTGCCCTTAACATGTATAAAGGTACAATTTATTATTATTATTATTTTATTAGAACATAACAAATCTTAAAATTATGACGTCAATCGGGACTGAACTTAAGTCCCGCCTCGGGACGGGAGCCACAGCGTTTTTTTATTTAAAAATGTTATTTTGTTTGTGGGTCATTTTAAGCATGTTATTTTTAAAATAAGCAGAAGTTTTTATGAGGAATGTTTTTTTTCTGTTAAACGCATAACAAAAACTTTTTTCCTATTGGCAACCTCGTCCAGGGACACACTGTATACTATTTAAATGTTCTTAAGAATGTTAAAGTTCAAATTTCAAACCTTCTTATAATGATATTAAAAAACAATTTGGAACGTCAAAAACATAAAAATTTCAAACTTATTTTATTAATTAAAAAACACAGTATATCTATAGAAAGTTAAAATATTATTAGACAAGTTTGATATTGATATAATACTGTTTTTACACCCTGTATATGACGCAATAATAGTAAAGCAATGAGATTCTTAACTATAGCTAAGAATAATTTTTTTAAACGTAAAGTAAATGTAGGTATGTATATGGCGGGGATCCCGCAAACATTTAATTCTTAGGTGATTTGATCAGTCTTTCAACGAAGTCGTACGACGGTAATACCGGTGTCTTGTAGTTTAAATAGTTTTGTATTAAATATAGTGCACAAATAGTATTTTGTGAATGGATTATAACGTTACCTAAACATATATCGTAAGTAATTATTTATTTTCGTGAAAATATTTTGTTGACAATATGCGTGGGTATAAATTTTCAATCAATATATGAATTGGCAAATTGTTTTTTATGGTTAATTGTGTAGGTGCCATCTAAAAATATATCAAAGTTGCATGTACAAAACCTGGATAAAAATGTAATTATTATTACGAATTTTACACAGCACGTGAAAAATTTATAAACAATTAATATTGTGATTATGTAAAAAAACACGTTTTTATGTGTTTTTTTATTTGTACAGGGTGATGTAAAAATACTCAAATATTGATTGTCTTGTTTTTTTAAATTTGAATATGGATAAGATTACTTTACTTAAAAATGACACAAACAACAAAAAATATTGTTTTAGTATTCAAAATGCAATTAATATTTGCGTGTGTTCCAAATTCTTTTATAATGCGTCTAAAAAAATATTTGTAAGTGTATTTACTATAAAAATAATTACCCTTGCCTATAACTTATATACCAATCCAAGCATATTTCCTTTGAATACCTAACTTTCATTTTACGACTTTTTATATTAGCAAAATTAATGATATTTTTATTATATGTTTAGTTACTATTTTGGTTTTACAGTTATAATATTCAAAAAACATTTGACATGTCTGTACCGCATGAATCACCCAGTATATTATTAATTTTTCTCCATGTATATTTAGCTTGGCATATGGGCAATTTTAATTTTAAACCTAGTACAGGAAGTAGCGCATTTTTTTTTGGTAACTCTCATAACATAAATAACTGAAACATTTTCAAAGATTAAATTTGGATTAATTAGTGAAAATAAACATTGCAAGCAGGCATCTGCTTTTGCAAAAGTTTATCTTCAATTTGTGTTTAGGTACCTGATGGGATAAATAACATCCTTCCTGTATACAGGGTGCCCCAAGTATCCTACTATAAGTATACTTCTATGGGTATTTAAATAAAAAAAAATGGATAAAAATGTTACTTTTTTCAAAATTCTCAGGAATAACAAAGTTATAAGGATTTTTGGATTTGACAGGTTTTCAGTTTTTATCAAATTATTTGGAACTCGATGATGTTTTTCCAATTTTGCTCTTGTAGCTCTTCAAATAAAAAAGATACTCATACAAAGGATACTTGGTTCACCCTGTACAAAAAATCAGTTTATCACACTAGTGAAGAGGATGTTTTTATGGGTACTCCACCCGAAAGTATTAATGCTTTATATATAATATTAGCTTGAAAACACATTTTAGCTTAAAAACACATTTTAAACACCCTGTATATTAAAACAAAACCAAGAGATAATATGAATGTTCACTGAATATAATCGCCAACGTAAATTTGCAAACAGTTAGTTTGCTGATAAAAAACAATTTTGTAGGTGTAAAAATACCTTAAGTAAGGTTATTATTGTTATAATTATTATTTCTAGAGCTGTAAAATACACAAGATTAATTAGGAATTTATAGCAGGCTTTCATTTAACTTGTGTGCAGGTTTTTAGAAGAAAAAAACTAAATTGTTTATGACTTCAAGCTAGCAGGTTTATATTTAAACAAAAATGTAATTAGCTGGTACAGTCTTGGACAAAGTTTATTTAAAATAGTTTCCCTTAACAAATTCTCTTCTCTTCTCTCTCCTTTTCATTAACACATTTTCATTAAACCACTTTGAGTTTTAATTGCTTAAAGAGAAATATATATATATATATATATATATATATATATATATATATATTTAGCCCTTTTGAAGTAGAGGCCATTGTAGATGTCACACATAAAATACCAAGATAGAATAAACAAAAACAGCTGCCATTAGAATAATAGCAGATATCAAACGCCAGTGACTAACGACCGCCCCTAAAATTTTAAATGATGGCAGTTTTAACGTCTGCGCATCTATGACGTACATTTATTGTGTTCACTCTAACGCGTTCGTGCGTGGGGTAAAAATTTAATTTTATTAACAACGAGTCAATAAATAAGTACAACAATAGCAGAAATTATACTAAATTATATCGACGTTTCAACACACTTGTAAATTAGCTTGTTTCAATGTTAACAGCTAGCTATAATAAGGTGGTCATTTTAAATAACATATTGGAAATAATTATTAATGCGGAATAATTTTAATAACTAAAGATTTAAATACAGTACTGTATTTTTGCGCCACCTTGTATAACAATAATAAGTAACAAACAAATTGCAAAGTTATGAAATAACATTTCACTATAGGTGTGCATCTTCTATAAATTATATAGATAGATAAATTCTTTATTCTTCTGCAGATGGTAAATTATGAAAGTATTCTTAGCATTTACGTGTAATGCAAAAATAGACTTGTTACCTATATAATTTAATTTTGATGAATATTGTATGGAGATCAGATTAAAAAAATGTCCTTGCTCAAAATTTCAACAATTTCCGTTTTAAATTTTTACCTGCCCACAACACAGATTCTTGTTTGTTGTTTTCTTTGATAATTTATTTATTTTAATTAACTATAACAGTCCACGCATAAAAACCTTTTTACATTTTTTAACATAATTAATAATTATTGATAGGTAAATAAATTTTGGATTTTACAAAATCACAATTGTGTGGTTTATAATAAAAAATCTGTTTAGTGCCCTCCTGTGCAAAATGCCTTAAAGATTATCGACAAATCCATTTATTATATTCACTTGCTTTTTTTATCGATAGATTTATTCTTTTTATGCTTGATCGATTTCTACACTGAAAGAAATATATGTTTGTTTTAGCAATGTATGTGGTAGTCCAAATATGAAACATAAAATATATTTACCTTAACCATTTTTATATTTAGTTTTAACATATTATGTTAAAACTAAATATAATATATGTTTGTTTTAGCAATGTATGTGGTAGTCCATATATGAACCACATACATTGCTAAAACAAACATATATTTCTTTCAGTGTAGCGATAGTTTATGTATATTGTTAATTTAACAAGAATCAAAAACACCTGGTATATATCGTTATATATCGTGAAACGGTTAAGACGTTTTTGTTCGGTAACTGTATTATTGCAGAATACAGTCTTGGACAAAAGTTTTTAAATGAAAAACAACATTTGGTTAACAAATGTTTTAGATAAGTCCATCAAAATTTGTCACCGATAAGATAGTGGTTAATTAAATTATTCATTCCTTACTACCAGCAAAGTCAATTCAACTGACCATAAAATTACTCATACCTTAAAGAATATGCTCATTTTATAATCAGTTTAAGTAACACACATATTCGGTCCAATAACTTAACTCAAATGCGTGTGAAATTTAATTTCTGGACCAAAATTCACCGAGCGTAGTAAATTTATTGTTTCCTATTTTAAGCTTGAAGGTACGATGATTTATTTATTTATTTATTGATTCATCATCTTTTTTTGTAGTCAGACGAAAATGAGACTGTTCAAAAGGCGATGTTCCGATCCAAACCCCCAATTGGTCAGCTTATCTCCATTATCCGAATCCGATAACTTATCCAAGTCATCTAGGCAGCCTAGCTCCGAAAGCATAACGGAAAGTTCGAAGTCTAGTAAGTAAAAACACTTTTTGTCACTGACTGTGTACTTACGAGTTCTTCTCTTAGGTATAGCAACATGGAGCAAGATGGTGGGTCAAAAATGGGATCAAATAAAACGAAGCAATTCCAGTGAGTTATTGCAAGTAAACACGGGTCGGAAAAAACATTGGTCCCCATCTAAATCGCAGGATGGGGGGAAAAAAATATCCAGAGTCGAATCACTAAAGAACGTAATTACAAACTCTGACATGGAAGAGGCCACTTTGAGAAATATATCACAGACCGACCTACGAAAGGTCTATGATCTATACAAAAATGTAAATCCAAGTGAGCATAACAGCGATAGAACGACTAGGAATAAAAGAAGAGTTAAAAGTACGTCTGACAATTTAGAGCTGAGTCAGCAACAATTGTTGGACTATCTTATGTTGATGCAACCGGATGCTCACGAGTTGGACAAAATATTTACCGAGATCAATGAAAATCCCAAATCTAGAAACAAGTTGGACATAGTGAATGAAGAAAAGAACAACTCAAAACCATCTAGGTTTAGAATGCGTAATATATTTGGCTTACGATCGTCTTCAAAAAGTGATGATGAATCGGATTTTAAACCGTCACGAATTTTGACATCAACTGGTTCCTTAACAAGCCTCACAAACTTCATAATACCGTCAAGGAGACACTCCAACAATTCACCTGTGATGAGTGCCAAAATAAAATCCGACGAAAGCGGATACGGTTCGGATTCCACTCGAACAGCATCGATTGATTCACCTAGGGGCTCCATCAAGTCCCAAAATTCCGACATTAAGGACAACAATAACTTACCAAGCAAAAACAATGCGTACCACGACGATACCGACACGGCTGAGGAAGACGACGAAACAATCATCGTGAAACCGAAAAAGTTCGGACGATCCATCAAAAAACTAACCAACAAAAAACGTTCAAGATCCCACAGCGAAGAAAACGACACCTTCTCCAGAAGAAAAAGCATCCGCCTCAAAAAATCTCCCAGCAAGGTGGAAAAATTTAAAGTTTCCATCGAAGACTTAAGTCAAACTTGTTGCGACAAGCTCAACAAACTCAAACTGAACGCCGAGATGAAAATAAACAAGCCTAAAGAGAGTTGCAAGATTTTCGAAAGGGAGTTCAAGTGTGTTAGGCTTGTTTTGGAGAAAAACGAGAGCATTGGCATCATTATATCGCCCCGTGAAAATGGCTCAAATGTAAGTTACACCATCGTGAGTATGACACCCAGATCTGCAGCTGAAAGGTATGTTATCCACCAATTATATATTACTGCTAAACGTTGACTTGTTTCAGAAACGGTAATCTACGTCTGGGCGACGAAGTGATCAAGCTCAATGGTGTCCGAATAAAAAACACGCCATACACATTCGCTGAAAAGCATCTGGCAGCTATCAACAACGAACTGGAGATCGTTGTTTCCAGGTTACCATCAAATAATAACAAAACGACTAAAACGTACAAACGCAGCAGTTCTTCAAGCGTTCTAGAAATGCCCGTACTAAAATATTCCTCAAAACCCGACTACTTAGCACCGATCAAAGTCGAATTTACTAAAAGTACAGGAAGGCTTGTTAACCTAAGCGAAATAACCAGCAAACATGATAACGTTGAAAGCCGTGTCACTTTTACCGAAAAGAAAGACGATGTTTTCAAAAAACCTTACGACAAATCGAAAAATACTAAACCCGTAACTGGAATGAGAAAATTTTCATACACCTCAGATACGCCGATCAAGCTTAACAACGATCAAATAAACGCAAAGCAACAAAAAAGTGCCACGAGCAAAATTATCAATTTTAACAAAGGTCCCGGGTATAAATCCTTGGGATTTTCAGTGGTGGGCGGTAAGGACTCGCCAAGAGGACCAATGGGCATTTACGTCAAGACCATTTTTCAACAAGGACAGGCTGCTGAAAGTGGAGAGCTCAAAGAAGGTAATTTTCACTTTGTCATTTTAGAATATCATCATATTAACTTGTCTTTATTTTATCTTAATGATATTATTTAATATTATTTCAGGCGATGAGTTGTTATCAATAAACGGGCAATCCTTCAAAGGATTAAGCCATCACGAAGCAGTGGCCTTATTCAAAAACATAAAATTTGGTGAAGTACTAATCGAAGTTGTTAAAAGAACTTCGTTCAATAAATTCTCAAGCTCTTTATAAACAAATATTAAAAAACTACGACAAAATACAGTACCTTTAAATATTCTCTTTTCTTGACTATTTTTCGTTTAAAATCAAAGATTTATTATTTATTTCTTTCTATTTAAAGGTACTGTGTGACCATTTCTAATCCCTCTTCTGACTGCCTATTTAATAAGGTATACATTTTGTACATACCTATAATATTGTTTGCAAAAATTAAACTTAAAAGCCAAAAAATATACTAATTATTAACATAGTATTGTAAATTATTTAAAGAATCAAACTTATTGGCTGTGACAAATTTTGCTATTGTACAAAACTAGCTTTGTATTTCTTGAAATTAGATTTAATTTTCTTTACATATTCTTTATAATTACTGTAATATATTAATAATAAAATAATTTATAACACTCTACAATTTTTTAATACACATCCCTTTTTATTACCAAAAATGCCGATTTAAATTACTTAAGTAATTGTGAGTGTAATCTGGGTTGCGTAAAAACAGGCGCCACTATTTTTATTATTTCAAAATATTTATGGTATTTAATAATATCATATTAGTATTTATGTCACAACAAACTTCACCTGATTGATCCAAATTATTTTTAAAGCCTAGGAGATAATCGAATACTTTTGTAGTGAGCGTTGACAATAATAAAGCTTAAATTATAGAACTCTAAAGTTATAACTACTAGGTATTTATGTTGTACCTAACATGTGTTATCTTACTTAAGTACTTAAGTGCTAATAGTTTAATTATACAATATGTTGAACATTTTTTAAAATCTTTTTTACTATAAATTTGTTGCCTTATTTATATATATTTATTTATAATTAAATTATAATTATAATAAATTATTAATAATTATAAACAATTTATTTTTATGTATAATATAATAAATATTAAATACAAATAGATGCATTTAAAACATGTTTTTAAATACATAAATGTTTTAAAGTAGGAATAGGTATATTGCATCAGTTTTTAAGTTTAAGTTATTTGGATGAAATATTGCTTAACCGATTAAAACAATTAAAAGAATTAGCAAAACTTGCAAAAAATTACGTATATGAGAGAAAATTTGTTAATTATTCATTAAAAAAAGTATTTTGTTTTCGTGTTTTGGTTTAATTTTTTTAAATGTTGGCAACATGGTTTGCAGCGTCCTGTAAGTCCGCCATATTAGTTAGAAATGTCGAATTTCTCTATCGAACAAAATATAATAGAATAGTTATTATTTTACTGTTGTAAACAGTAATAACACGAGTTCTAGAGTAAAAATATTGAAATTAAATGCGCTTGTTAAATTTGTTCGAAATACATAGTGAGTTAATACAAGAAACAAAATGTAAATAAGGTTAGAGATACTAATTAATGTATTAATTGAGGGTAATTTTATTATCAGCGTAATAAAGTAAAAGTGCTCGGATTTTATGATGTTTTATAAAAGGGAGATGGGCTTTTTATAATAAAATACAACTAAATATACAATAAATTGAGGGATTTATACAGTAAGGGAAAGTTGCAGCAAAATGATGTCAAATTCTTTTGATCATGAAAACAGGGACAGGTTTGTGACTGAACTGTACTTCAATAATAAATTATTAACAAAATTTAACGTTTTAGTTGGTATTTTGGTGCCATAAACCGACAAGAAGCCACAGATTTGTTAATGAATGAAAAAGAAGGTGGTGTATTTCTGGTTCGGGATAGTGCTTCATGTGCTGGTGATTATGTACTTTGCGTCAAGTAAGAAATAGTTAAAAGAATGTCATTTTAAGTGTTAAATTGTTTTTTTTTCATAGAGAGGACAGCAAAGTAAGCCATTATATAATAAACAAAATACAAAACAACGATGGGGTTAAATACCGAATTGGTGATAGGACTTTTCCTGATTTACCTAAAATATTAAGCTTTTACAAGTTGCATTATTTAGATACTACTCCGCTTATTAGGCCGGCTTCTAAGAAAGTCGAAAAAGTTATTGCTAAATTTGATTTTACTAGCAAGGTAAGTCATATAGCTTCTCTAGTGGTAGTCTTACAATTTTTACAGTCTTAGGTATAAAACTCCATGCAAGGTCATGCATGTAAAATTTTAATAAACAGATCATATTTTTCATTTTTGCAATTTTTATTTATATATTAAGTGTCTAGAATTCAAGGTTGTTTTTATTATAATATTGGTCAGTTTATCTTTATTTTAAACAACAAATTGCCCAAAAATTATGTATTTGAATTAATTATTAAACCAAATGTGGTAAACTAGAAGGTATTAATAAAAGGTATATGTAAGTTTTTAACCAAATATAATAAATATTAATTAAATATAATATTTTCTAATTATTTATTTAAATTTATTTAGGTATTAACTATAACCATTTTTTTTAAATTGATAAAATAAATTATCTTAAGTCTTGATACAATTGTAATTTACAACAAACAAAATAGGTACTTAAAATTTGATTAAATTTTGTATATGGGTTGGAATTATTCACACTTAAAAATGCATTATTTGCACTTTGAAATGCAAACAAAAATCCACATTGATTGAAAAATATTACAACTGCCAACAATTCTGATAAAATGTTTAACAACCCAACCTTTTTCTGCTTTTCGCAAAAAAACATTTTTTTGATATTTTGACTTTCTAAAAAATTACATAATCCAAAACAATAGAGCGCAGCCGAGCCCGCGGGTTGACAGCCAGTTTTCTTATAAAATGTATCAAATTTAAAATGCGATTCTGTCATTTTAAAGTGTGTTAATCCAAAGTTAAAAGAATTTCCTCAAAGTGCAATTATATATTTTCCTTTCTATAATTTTAGGAAAAGGACGATTTATGCTTTAAGAAAGGGGACATTTTAACAATTGTTTTTAAGGATGAGGAGCAATGGTGGACTGCTAAAACTAGCGACGGAAAAACTGGACTCATACCAGTGCCATACGTTCAAAAAGTATATATTTTGTTTTTCCGAAAATAAAAGGTATAATTAATATTTTTTTAGCTTGAAGATAGCCATTCTCCAGTAGATAACCCCAGACCGGGTTCTGGAGAGCCAATCAGCAGTTTGGGGGCACAATCTGAACCAGGGAGGCGAAGTCAAATACAGGTACGGTCAAAACTTGTACTGAGCTGAATGTTTTTTACATTTAATCCTTTTTTTTTAGCGAAAATTGCCAGCCCATGCTAGGGTGAAACAAGTGAGGGTGCCTAATGCATATGATGAGACTGCTTTAAAGCTAGAAATTGGAGATACAATTCTTGTAACAAAAACGAACATAAATGGACAATGGGAGGGAATTTTGAATGGTAAAACTGGTTATTTTCCATTCACTCATGTTGAATTCATTGAAGATGACACCTAATATTAATAAAGTTAATTATTTTTAAGCATAGATTTTTTTTGCTATTGTTGTATAGTTACTCGAATAATTTGTATATTTATTAATTATTGATTAATTTAATTTGGCACTAATATTTTGAATATATTATATTATCATTATTTATAACTAATTGTACAATTTGCTATCTCTCTAATTGTCAATTTGTATTTTTCTTAATTACATATCAATATTTAGGTAAATCTGTTTATCATTTACCTCACCTCCTAAAAATAATCTTATTTAATATTTTATCTTTTTAGCGAAACTTATGTTTTGATCAAATCTAAAAAGATAAAATAATATAAAACCTCAAATAAATGAGCAATAAAAAATAAACCGTTATTTAACCAATTAGGTAATACAAACATGGTTTTTCATCCAAAAAACTAGTTTATGGAGAAATTTAACTGTTAACATACCACAAATTAATAGATTTATGCAAATAACTCGTCCTAATAAATAACTCAAATAAATAAAATTAAAACCAGCCGTTTGAATAGAAAGGCTTGAAAAAGTTAAAAAATTTCAAGGTAAAAACGCTATAAAATGCCATTATTATAACTGAATTTGTTTATTTTTTGTGATTTGTATTATGTATTTTTTCGTTTCCGTTTGTTTTCATACTTCCAATGTTTGTTTTTAGGTGCAGCGCCATCTTTCGGCAAATGTTGTAGGTAGTTTAGAGGTTGGTAGACTTGTTAATTGTAGTTTTGAACAAAGTTGCTGCCTGCATTACCGACAGCGCAACTACGATTGTTTCTTTGACGAATGCGTGATGCTTTCAATGTAAATTTTTTAGTGAAATAAAATGTAATCTATTAAAGGACAACCATAATGGGGCGATCAAAATTTCCAGGGAAACCCTCGAAACACACGAACAGAAAGAGGGTGAACGTTTTAACGCCCACGGAGGACTCAACAGCAAATGTTGATAGTCCGCAGGAATTGACAGTTGAAAATGTTGTTGAAAACAATAAGGTAAACATTAATTAAGCGCTATTCCTATTAGATTCATTAGTTTTAGCAAGGTTTGATTGTTATTTAAGACACAAATTTGCTTGGTTTTAGGAAGAAGAACAGGCTAAAAATCCCAGTGAAAGTTCTGTCAATGACAATGTTATAAAGACAAAAGTTTCAATAAAAAGAAGACTGAATCGCAAAATGCAGAATAGTTTGCGCAACAAGAATGCCTCGAAAAGAAATCTATTGTCGAAAATCAACGCAAAGACAAAATTCAACAGCAAAACAAAACTGACACGTAGGTTTCAGTCGACATCAACCTCCAGCCAAGTGGGTAAGTTTATTCTACCTACACGTAGTGTGCATTCGTCGCGTGTAATTAAACCGAACAAACGATTCATTGACCTCAATGAATCCCTAACGTTAAAAAAGAAAAACAATGACAAAGAGGAGAAGGAAGAAAGCACAGAACCAAAAACATTATCATCAAATGGACGTGTTGTGTTGCGGCAAGCACGCCTAAAGTTACACACTCAGAGCCCCGTAGGTCAAGAAGGCCCCTTTTCAACAAACTTAAACCTAAACAGTGGCAATCCACCAGGTACAGTGACGTGTGGTGTATGTGGTGCAGTGAGGTTCTACAGGTTTGTAAAACAAGCCCGTAAGTTTAACATCTTCAGCTGTGAGTCATGCCGGAAGTTCATCTCAAAGATGATCAAACGTTCGAGCTGTGGAAAAGGTATAAGCACTCCCCTAGTTTGCCTTAAAGGTCAGGGAACGTGCCACGTGCCTCCAATTGTAAGAAGCCAGCAGTGGAAGTTAATAAGATGTGCATATAAAGCACGGTGTCCTGCTTGTTGGCTGAAATTGTGCCTTCGATCATTTGAAATCCCTATCAACTTAAAACATGGTTTATCACAACTACTTCCTCAGAACATGAAGGGGCCGGACATCATATTCAACAACACACTCCCTTTAATATGGCAAACAAAACCTGAAACAATACCTCAACGAGATTTACGTAACCGAGACCCCAACAGCAACAAAGTCCAAACACCCGCTCCACCGCAACCGAATAATACAGCAACCGACATTAAAAGGCAAAAAATCGACCTTAAAGGCCCGCGTGTCAAACACGTTTGCAGATCCGCCTCCATCGTCCTCGGACAACCAATCGCAATCTTCGGCAACGAAGAAAAAGAAAAAGCCAAAACTCCAGAACCAATCGCAACAGAAGTCAAAATTGAAGTTAAACCGGCACTACCAGCCCCACCCGTTGTCGAAAAAGTCACCAGTGAAGTCAAAACTACAAGCAAATGCGACTCAAACTCAAGTGAAACCGAATCTTCCGATAGCGACAAAATCTCAAAAATACAGCTATACATCAACGAAGTTTCCAATTTAAGGAGGGAAAGGATACACAAAAATAACTCTAATGAGGTAAAACCTTTATTTTTATGCTTTATTTTGCATACTGCGCATCCCTTTAAATGCTTATGCGCAGTAGATAATATAGACGCGCAATAAATACATACAGTTCTTAGGTAAACAAAACTTGGTTAACATCATTGTCTTGTAATAATATGCTGAATTAAATTTCAGGCAAAATCAATGTTGGAGAGGAAAGCCCAATCGGACATCCAAAACGGTATTTCGATAGATTTTTGGGAGGGATACGACCCCGAGGAAATCTGTCAAAATGGTTACTGTTTAATATCGTCGGAACAGTTCCCTATGTCGTCGATATGTTTTTTATGTGGAAGTGGGGGCAGAGACTATTTGATTTATTGCTCGCTTTGCTGCGAATCCTACCACTCTTTTTGCCTTGAACAAGGTTCCCACAATATACGACAAACATCGTGGCTATGCCCGAAATGCACTCTTTGTACAGAGTGCAATCAAAATGACAGGCAAAAAGTTAACTGCCAAAAATGCATGAAGGCCTACCATCCCGAATGTTTCAACAAGAAATGGAACAGTGTCGATCAACCAACGGTAATATACATATATATTATTAAATAGCGAAATATTAATATAAAATTTTTGTAGGTTTGTTCAAAGTGCATGCACTGCAAGAGCTGCGGATCGGAAAACATCACAAAATTCGTCGGAAATCTGCCCCTGTGCATCACATGCTTCAAGCTGCGCAAAGAAGGCAAATTCTGCCCGATGTGTCAGCACTGCTACGACGAGAACGAATGCTGCGCGAAGGTAAACTACATTGCGTCGCGTAATGCGCATCGCTAATCGCTTAATGTTACAGATGATGGAGTGCGCGAAATGCAACAAATGGGTGCATTCGCAGTGCGAGAAATTGACCGAAGAACAATATCAGATTCTAGCAATATTGCCTGAGAGTATCGAGTATGTATGCGCGTTGTGTTCGAGTAATAAAGAATGTTGGAGGAAGGCTATTGATTGCGAGTTGAAGGCGAGTTTTAATCACGTGATTAGGTTGCTGAGCAAGAATAAAATGGCGCGCACCACTTTGAAGTGGAGTCCGTTGAATAACCATACGCCCCTGCAAAAATCTATAACGAATGTTAGGCGTTTGCAGTTTGATAATAATGATGCTGATTTGGATAATAATAATTGCAATAAGAGTATTATGGATATCAATAAGATATACTCGTTCGAGGAGAACGAGTTGCAAATGAAGGCTGAATCGGAGATGAATAACAAAGTAACACCGACTTTATCCATGGTTCATATTAAGAACAAACTAAACTCGAATGAGTATTGTTCTGTAAGGGAGTTCAATGAGGACATGCAAGAAGCCCTGGAGAACACCCACTCAGAGGAGTTAAAGAAAATATATCAAAACATATTCCACACGATTTTTCCCTGGCATGACCTCGGCAAAATTGACGAAGACATCGTCAAAAAAGAGAGCATAACCACAGATGAATCTCATCAATCCGTGAATGACGAAAATCATACTCAAGTCGATTTTGACGCCTTAGATACACGGATGTGCTCTTTCTGCAAAGTCACGGGAGATGGTTATAGTTTTGAGGAATCCCGCCTGTTATATTGCGGAGAAAACGAATGGGTCCACGCGAATTGCGCGCTATGGTCTTCTGAAGTTTATGAAGAAATCGACGGCTCGCTGCAAAACGTACAGAAAGCTTTAAATCGTGGTCGATCGATTCGTTGCTCAACTTGCAAGCAAAAAGGCGCCAGCGTTGGTTGTTGCTATAAAGGTTGCTATGAAACCTATCACTTTAAATGCGCGCAAACCACCACCAAGTGTCAGTTTATGCACGATAAGACGGTTTACTGCGCGAGCCACGAGTTGCCGAAAAATAGCAACCCGTTAACAACACCCAAAGACTTTGATATATACCGCTCTGTGTTTGTGGAGTTGGATAAAAAGAAACGCAAGACGTGCGATATAGATAAGGTTACGTTCATGGTGGGTTCATTGTGCGTCAAGAATCTAGGCAAGATTAACCCTTTGGTGTCGGATCACCCCGACGCTATTATACCAATGGGTTTTGTCTGCACGCGCCTCTATTGGTCAACTGTAGATCCATGGAAGTTGGTACCGTACATTATAACAACATCGACGTTTTCATCGCATTGCGTTACTGGTCGACTAGTCGACAAAAATTTCACTGTGGACCATGGCCTATCCAAGCCCATCGTGGAAAAAATGATAAAAGAGTTGGCATTATGGCAAAAAGATGTCGACAAGAAGAAATCAGACATCCTCGACTATGAGGACGATGAAGAACCACAGAACGGAGCTGACTTGTTATCCCCCGAACTCACCAACGCCATTCTAGAAGAACTGCCACACGATCTTCTAGATGGCATATCAGTGCAGGATATTTTTCCGGCATCGCTGGCTTTCACAATGGACAACAAGCTCGACGAAGAACTGGATATGGATATGAAAGGTAACAGAGAGTTACGGAGGAGCAATAGCGAAATAATCCCCCAAATTAAATCTCGAAGTCAGCAGAGATCGTGCAGCTTAACCTTAAGCTGCAAGTTGGATAGCTCTCTAACGCCAGCGATTAAGAAACGAAAAACCCGCGAGACAAACATATTCTTCCAGCTATTACAAGTCGACGGTAATTGTGATGACAGCAGCGATTGCGAGTCCACAACGGGCCCCAGTGTAGACCCCTGGGGTAACCTGTTATCCGAAGAACCCGTTACCTGCGAGAAGTGCCAGTGCACGTATAGAACCCAAGCGAGTTATAAAAGACATTTGGACACGTGCGAGGTGCTTTGTACGAGTGAAAGTGATTCGGAAATGGATAATAATTCAGCGGAATTAATGGAAGAACCATCCATGGTGTTAACCTCATACGAATCGTACCAAAACGAAATCCATACCTCCGTACTAAATACTCAAACATTTGTTACATCGAAATCTACGGAGCTGATATCAATGCCGCAAACTCAAGATATTCTAAAACCCATGATACAAACAGTACCAGTGAATACTGTCGCGCCCATGACCTTAAACCAAGTAAGCGAGACCAATCAGTACACCATAAATCATCCCACGATTACCATAAGTGATAACATGCCGTCTCAACCTGCTCAGTATTGCGTCAACCCAACGGTGCCTCTGTGTGTTAATCAACCCATACAAATACAACCCAATCAGTTTAATCAAACCATATCTATCAACCAACAGGGCTCCATTCAGATCAACCAGCCTCAAACCATTGACTATCATCAGCCGCAACAAGTCACCATACAGTCTGTGCCGTTTGGGAATAATATACTCAGTGTATCGCCGCAGAATCAGTTCACTCTCAACGGCAAAATCATCAACCCTTTGACAATGCAAACTGTCAACGTGCCGCAGCAGTGGGTGAAGCCTGTATCGAAACCTACAGTAATAGCACAGAAAACGCTTAAATCGAGAGCCAGATCAAGAACTATAGCGGCAAAACGGCCGCACTATGAGGAAACCGATACGATAATGTTACCTCAGAACCCCTCGAATAACCAAGTCATAGTACAACACTTACCGTCCACAAATTTTGTCCCGTTCGTCGATGCTTTCCATCAGCAACAAACCGGTCAAAACGTACAATACGTCACTACCATCCCGCAAACGCAATCCTTAGTACAGCTACAACCAGACAACAACCTGATAAGCATAGTGCCCGGCCTGCAACCTACAATGATAATACAACAACCACGCGTACTAGAAAACCAATTGGTTATAGACAGCAACGGATCCTTGGGGTGGGCACCACAACCCGTCTACTACGGTTTCGAGACCATAGTACAGAACACGGTAATGCAATCGCAACAATTCCTCCCAACAACAGTACCAGGCGTACTCACAGCCAACAGTAGCTACTCGACAACAACACAAGTGTTCCAAACCAGCAAGTTAGAGCCAGTATTGGACGTATCATCCAACAGCTTCGTACTGATGAATCCAGGTCAGCTAGTGAACTCTCAACCAATCGAAGTGCAGCAATACTCGCAGTCGCAACCAATCAACACGGTGGTTAGCAACATATTACCGCCGCAGCAACAAATCGTCAAATACTCCAACACATCACAGAAACCCTCGACAGTTACGACATCTGCCACTCACAGCATCACTCTACCAACGGCGCCGTTTGTACCAGAACAAGGTATCCCGACAAATATAGTCATACCGACGCCGAAAGCCCCAAGCACTCAGCAAAGCAGGCCAATGAGTCGCGTACTTCCAATGCCTACAAACAACAAAAAAGAACACAAAAAATTGATTGTTGAAGAAGCTAAAAAGCAGTTCATAGAAGAAGTCAAAAAACCCATTAAGTTTGAGGAAGCTAAAAAGCCTGCACCAGTCAAAATAGAGCGATATGAAGAGCCCAAGAAACAAATGTTGGTCAAGTTGGATGAACATAAGAAAACAACCAGCTTTTCAGTTATTGAGGAAGTCAAGAAGATGGCCCAAATACTGGATATGCCAAAAGTATTCGATACGTTAATAGAAACGAGCAAGATAATTGAACCACCAGTAATTGCAAAGCCTGTAATAATACAACCCAAAGTAGTAGTAGAGCCTCCAAAACCGTTAACTGTACATACAGTACAAAAACCTTTAACTATGCATACAGTACCAAAACCAATAGCCATTCAACCTGCTAAAGAAGTTTACATTGAACCAATTCTGCCAGAGATAAAACCTATTGTGGAACAAATCCCTGCTGCTAAAAAATCCATAGAACCCATAGAAAAACTAGATGATCCTAAATCAGAAAAATCCTTAAAGCTAGTTTTCCAAAAGCAAGCCCAGGATGGCACTTACAAGGTCAGCAATTTAAAACCACCCGTACAAGTGGCACCCTTAAAACCCATCAAAAACACCTTTAGCAAAGTGCTGGCTCATAGAAATGAGGAAAAAGAAGACCAACCTCCTGTCAAGCCCTCAAATGGTCCAAAGAAGGAGAACGAAAATTCCGCGGTAGTTTACACAATTGAAACCAAAGACGGTTTCAAATATTCCTCGACCTCCGTCGCTGATTTGTGGGACAAAGTTATAGAGGCGGTACAGGCGGCTAGAGCGGCACACAACATGCCTCCATTACCCACAAGCACCAGCTCCAACATGGGCAGCATTCAAGCTTTCGGCTTGAAAACCAGCGGTTTAAAATACCTGATTGAACAACTACCGGGCGCTACTAAATGCCCGAAATATAAACCGACGTTCAGTTTTCCGCCACATCAGAAGGAGCTGGAGGATGACTATCTAACTGGAAATACTTTTGGGGCTATACGGTGCGGACCAACAGACAAAAAGCTGAAGGAGCCGTATGATATGTTTGGGTGGCTGTCCTCAAAACACAGGAGACCTGAAGAGGCCTCCATGGAGGGAATGGAAATATTAACGAGGTAATAATACATTTTGTGTGAAAAATAGTACATGGTATGAACTTATTTATTTATTTATAGGCGTGGGTCCGTAACGAACCTGCCAATGGCTATGAGATTCAGGCAATTAAAGCTCACCTCAAAATACTCAGTTGGCGTGTATAGGTCGAGTATACACGGAAGAGGGCTTTTCTGCCTCAGAGATATAGAAGCTGGAGAAATGGTTATAGAATATGCTGGAGAGGTAATGTTATATAATAACTATATTAACATATTATAATAACTTTTGTGTTTTTTAGGTCATAAGGTCGATTTTGACGGACAAGAGGGAAAAGTACTATAACTCGAAAGGCATAGGGTGTTATATGTTCAGAGTTGATGATAACTTTGTTGTGGATGCCACCATGAAAGGCAACGCTGCCAGGTTTATCAACCATTCTTGTGATGTAAGTATTTTCCGAATTTTACATATATACATATTTTACATGTGGGTTTCTTTTAGCCTAATTGCTACTCAAAGGTGGTGGAAATTCTGGGTCACAAGCATATAATAATATTCGCTTTGAGACGAATAATCAGCGGAGAAGAGTTGACGTACGATTACAAGTTTCCATTTGAAGAAGACAAGATTCCATGTACTTGCGGGTCGCGTAGATGCCGCAAATTCCTCAACTGATATTTAGTGTGAATATTTTTTCTTTTTTTTTACATTATATCATTTATATATGGTTCCTTTACACGCCTAGTATTATATGTTGCTTGAACGCAATTCAATCGAACTGTTTGTTCCTTATTAATCATTTTGCTCCATATACTTTTGATGTTTTGTAATTTACATCCGACTGCGCTTTTTCGAGCCGTACCATTTGTTTTATAATTATTGAGCGTGGCCGGGTGGAATTTTTTTACTGATATTCAGTGTTATTTTTTTAAATCTTTGCCTCTCAATTTTGGCGCTGGCGCCGACCGCCATCTTGGATATTTTTGACGTTCAAAATGTCAGTGCCATTTCGTTTACCTTGTGTCATATTCCATATTTTTAAAATATTCAGTTTAGGGGGTGTTTCTTGTAATTCCTCCACTACTTTTATGTTGGTTCAAGATGGTGGATTTCAGAAAAATATGTTGATTTAATTGATTTCACTAAAATTCACTCAGTTTGTAAATTGTAAATTTCTGTATATTTAGTGTATATATAACTCATATGTATGTAATTTTCTTCCCATGTAGCACCTATGTGGCCATAATATAAAGTTTAACATTCTTAAAATACGATATTTTTTTGTAAGTCAGTATTTAAAAAAAAATTGTTTGTATGAAAAATTTGGCTGTGAGGTTTAATGCATTTTGTGCCATTGGCCGCATAGGTGCTATAGCTCTAAAATTCCTTAAATAAATATGTATCACATATTTATTCTGGGAAATCATGAAAAATTTAAAAGTAAAATTGCCATGTGATATGTTGCATAGTTTTTTGCAAGAAAATTCATTTAATTTGTTTGTTATTGGAAACGAACCTATTTAAAAAAAGATCTAACATAAAATTTTGTACATAAGTTTTTACCAAATGATTTTCATTTTAGAATGCTTCTAAATATTATATTAAACATCGAATATATATGCCTTGAATCTCAAACTTACTATTGGCATTTCCTAAATATTATATAAAGTCATAATCTATCACTTGCCATTTATCATTTCTTTCTTTTATATATTAAACATCGAAATTATATGCCTTGAATCTTAAACTTCCTATTCTCATTTCTTAAATATTATATAAAAGTCATAATCTATCACTTGCCATTTTTCATTTCTTTCTTTAATTATACATACTTATAAATGGAAAATAATATTTTTGTATAAGCACTTGAAATTTTATATGTACAAAGAGTACTTGTAGCTTTACTTACAATTGGTTGTGAAATTATTGGTAAATTAGTTATTTCTAGACACGTTTAATATAGTTTACACAAACTATCTTCAAACGCTACTGGTAACAATTTAAATTTTATTTTATGTACTTATTCAAAATGACAGCTTCAAAACTACCCACTTTACAAATAATTTACTCCCAATTGTTAATTTGACAATATTGACATATCAATATATAAAAAAAGATAGAATATATTATTCTATGTGTGTGATAAAAGGCCTTGTAGTATTGTACTTGTACAGGGATGATTAATTTTAGTGTCTTATATCTTTAACATATGTATTTAAAATTGAGAACTAATCATACCCTACTATGGTGCTTACTACTTGTATTTAACTTCAGCAGCTGTGCTAACCTGTAACTATATATATTAATAAAAAAACTCCTAATTTGCATTTTATTTTTTTTTACCCTCAAATTTAAAATAAAACAGTTTTAATTATTCTATAAAAATACTTATTTGAATTAGTTATCACATTCTTTTTCCCAGTCTAAAGGTAAAACACCATGGTAAATATTCTCAAAATCGTTGATACTGCAACTTTTGGCGCAACTCTTGAAAATTTGTTCTTGCATAACATCATTGTAACTGTCCATATAAAAAACCTAAAATTACAAAAAATTAACACATCATTTAAATGTTTAATTATACCTTAAGGGTGGAATCTTCATGAAGTTCCATTATTAAAGTGGCCCCAAAGCCAGGCTTGATAGTGTCAACTAAATCCAAAGTCCTTAAAATGTGCACCAAAGATACATCGTGTCCAGCATATAAATTAATTGTAGGTTGTTTTTTGTTATTTATACAATTTTTCATTGAATCTAGAACTCTTTTTACAAACACCCCTCCTTTTAATCGCTTCATTAACTTTGTCTCTGTGTATAGAGCCAAATTTTTAGCAGCTATTTTTTTCATTTCCTTTAATATTTCAATTGTAGCCCATGATGGTAATGTCAAATTTTGTACTTGTTCAATATCTAAAGTGTTGAAAATAAATTCCATATCTTCCAGTGTCTTTATTTCTTCCCCTGTATATTTCCTAACATCATCAAATATCTTTGTTTTTGTTAAATTTTTTACTTCTTCCAAGTTTAACATGTCACTGTAAGCCTTGTCGTACACTTTACACTGTTTCCTCATTACTATCAACTAAAATAATAAATATACCTACACAATATTAAAACATATTTAGGAATAAGTTACATTATCATCGTTTCTTGGTATATATTTAATAGGCACTGGTTGCCATAAAAGTTCGCTGTTCCATATTTGCTCATCTATAGGTGGAAATAATCCAGCATTTAATAATTGAGCACTCATTTTACATCTGTCTGAATAACTGCTAAGGCAGGTGACATTATCAGCATAGTAATATTTGGGTAGAAATGATTTGTAATGTTTTTTTAATTGTTGTCCTAAATAAAAAATCTGGTATTTGCCTCTCTAAAAATATGTTATTTTTTTAACGCGCTGTATATAAAATATTGTAAACTTACGTTTGTTAGACCTCCTAACCCCCCTGACCAAGTGTGGTTGATGTATGGATCATTCTTATATAAATGTGTTGGGTTTCTTTCGCCATGCCGAAAAAACTGATAAAAATTGTTATTAAATAATTAAAAGTAATACAACTTACAATATGTAGCTGTTTTATAGCAGATTTTTCGCTATTAACACTAAAAAACATAAATAATAAAACTCCGAGTATTTGAAAATGTTTCATTTTGTATTTGGCGCTTTTATCGATATTGATTTTACATTTAAATAAATTCTGATGATCTGTTATATCGTATTTTTACATATTTAATACATTTGGGTAATAAGATTATTTCTTATCTCTAAATTTAATTTAAATATAAATAAACGTCACTTTTATATGTTTATGAAAGCTACTCCTCTTCTTCTTCTTCTTACACCTAATTAATAGAGGTAACGATAGTGGTCAAAAGTAGACTATCGATAGTATCGATAGTTTACTAAAATTTCAAAACCGTATAGTTTAACACTTTATTAAAAAATAAAAGATTTATTTTTATAGTGGCCAAATTTTCAACCTATCAAATACAGGAGTCAAAAATATAGTATAGTATTTCAATATAAATTAAAATCTATAATATTATAGCTATGCTATGCTTAAACGATCATTTTCGTATCAAATAGCCAACTTATTTAATAAATTAAAATTTAACCCTTTTAACTTAAAAATTCATCAATTCAAAAGCCAAATCCGTGAAAGTGTTTTAAAAAACGCCTGAATATACATAGTTTTTATTAAGTTCGTCTCTCTTTATCCAATTTTTTACGTGTTTCCTTCTTCACTAGTTATGTAGGTACACTAGTAAAAAGATAATTGCACAGAAATATTATGTATTGACGCTTAGTTAGATAACTTATTATTTATGTAGCTATATGATTATTTTTGTTTTTTTTTATTTTTGTTAGATATTTCTTTTCTTTTTTGTTTTTCCCTTAGGGTTAGATGTAAGAATAGACTTACATGCTCTAGGCAGTAGTTTGGAGTGTGTAAGAACTAAATCTCGCCCTGTATTTAAATATTGTACAACTGTCATTCTGTATTTTAATCAATAAAGTCCTTTATTATTATTATTATTATTATTTAGCTATCGAGTTTCAAAACATCAATAATAAAATAATTGACAGCACATATTTTGACAGTTTACTTCTTCTTCTTCTGAGTGTTTTGGCATTTTCCTTTCGGAATGGGTAAGGTGAGTGAATTCCAGAGATATGGAATATCTCTGGTGAATTCCTATGGTTTCCCCTTTTCTTATGTTGGCCTTGGTGGTGTGTGACACCGTATGCAGGGCCGGATTTACGAATTTGCCGCCCCAAAGCATTTCGCCGCCCCGCCCCCTCCCAAAGGCGACAATTTGCCAGACCTAAAATAATAGTATTTGAACAACAATATCTAAAAAATAAATATAAATAACATCATGTTATAGCTTTATATAACCTCACTAACTATGATCTAGGAATAATGCCAATTAGTACTTTAAAGTGTCAAAGGAAATCATAGATTCTCTGCAAATATTCCACATAACAATTGTTATGTGGAATATTTGCAGAGAATCTCTGATTTCCTTTGACACCTCAAGATATCGTTAACTTAACATAATACAATTATTATTTTCGTAATTAAGAAAAAAATATGGATTAAAGGAAAAGTTACATATGTAACTTTTCCTTTAATCCATATTTTTTTCTTAATTAAACATATTTTATATTTTATATTTTCTTAATTAAACACATTTTTCTTAATTAAACATATGTTTCGCCAATTGTTGCCGACTAGAGTAAAAAACCCAGTCGTCCTCCATATTGTTTACCAACCATTCAGGAATGAATATTTATTTACTCAATTTAAAACCACTTAGCCTGTAAACTTAACTAAAAAAAATCTATGTTGTTTTTTTTCAAAGTGGATTGTAACATCAGGAAATTAAGAAATCAGAAACGATTTAATGATAAAATTGTTTATTGAGAGCTAAAAAATTTAATTCATAGTGAACCTTTTCAAAAAGTTTAAACTCAAGTTTTCAGAATTTTTTACGCCTAGCTTTAATATTAGCGAATGTATCAATGACATCATTAAAGTCAAGCTTACACGTCAAGTCTTTTTCTATGTCTAAAACAGCTAAGTTAATTAACTAACCTTTTCTGGCCAACAGTTGATCTTAAATAATTCTTTACTCGTGAAAGAGTAGAAAACATCTTAAGAGCTACGCTTACATTTGGATATATGTCCTGGAGATCTTTTGACAAAATATATCTGTTCAATTGTGACAGCGACATTTCTTCTGTACTGGATGCCTTTTGTTTGCACAACAGACCTTTCAAATGAAGACATTCAACAACAAAAGAAGGAGCTTCAATGTCCGTTGAGTATAATTCATAAAAAGACGTTGCAGCAGATGTAATTTCAGTCGCACTTATGTGGCAGAGGTTTGACAAGAATGAGAATCTGTTTAGAAATTCATTGTAAATAGCCATTCTCTTGTTTAACTCTGAAAGAAGTTTGTCAATTATTAGTGTATAGCTTTCTTTGAGTTTGTCATCCAGGTTTTCTTCCGCGGTCTCTTTTTCTTCTTTAGAATCAGAAGAATTACTTTCGTCAAAAAATTTCTTTTTTCTCCGCAATCTCGTCGGCCGATCTACTGTTAGGTTTACACCTATAAATACGTTATTTTTCTACTTTTTCGGCATATTGCAACCGATTTATTTTTATATTTTGATATTTCTTAAGTAAGGTTAATAGCTGGCCATACACAGGCGTTATTTCACGCGGTTTATCGTGGCGTGTTGGGATGTAGCGGTTAGTATGCACGAAAGAACGGCATGGCAAAAAAAGCGTCATGTTCCATACACTTGATAAAGTATTCAAATGATTTAGCAAGTGATTGCCCGTGGTATATCAGTTTCAAAGGAAAAATCGTATGTGAGTGGGCAAAAAGTGTCATTTATCGAGTCGTTTGAAACTGCATGTGATCATGTACAAATTTTCAACGTGAAATTTTGCCAAGCAAAGGTAAACCGTGACGCGGAATGTGGCGTGTGGACACGCCACACTCCAGAGAAAAGCACGTCTGAAATCCCTTCCCGTTCTATCATTTCGCGCGGCGATACTCACTCACGTACATGATTTTCCATATGTTTTTGCAGATAACACGATAAACCGCGCGCAATAACGTCTGTGTATGGCCAGCTAATGGCTAGGTCGGGTCAAGATTACATGCGTCGGTATATTTCAATTAAGTTTTATCTAAACGATTATGCGTATTTTTTTCTGCGAAATATGACACAATTTGATCACGCTATTTTTCTAGAATAAAAATAACGCCTTTATATTTTGCCGATGGGTCGCGACCTTAGCAAAATTGATTACTTTATTTCCTAAATTTATTTTTTCATTTTATCTCTATTTTTTTCAATTAATTGGCTAACTTTTAGCATAAAAACCATCCGCGAATAAACTTATTGAATTCAGTTCACCAAACACTCTAGTAGTCAACAAGCAGCAGTGCCAAGTGCCAGGTGTAGTGCAGATACCTTTTTCTACCTTTAAAACTACCTTTTTTTCCAAAGTGTCAAGTCCAATGTTCGTGGCTATAATTATTTGTGAGTATAAGCTCTTACCTTGGTGTTAAACTGATATTGCTCTCCCTTGGGGAAACTATACTGGTTATTGTTATTTAATTTTGTTGATAAGTTCTATTATTTGCCTTAGCTAGAATTACCATTGTTAATAATTCGACTTTACTTTTATTTCTTTTATCTTTAATTTTACTTTAGTTTTATTTTAAATTTTACTTTAGATTTACTTGTATTCTTCTTGCTGGTTAATTAAAATCCTAATTATAATCATAAACACCTTTTTTATTTCACAAATACATAGCCTGAGAGACACACGGACCCATTGGTCCTGGTGGCAGCCTACCTTTTAGAGTAACCAATCAGATCGCTCGTCCGCGCACCTAACACTACGACACACTCTGCCTAAAGTTCACCATCATCTTGTACCGACCTTAGTTTCTTTTCCCCTTCAGACTTAAAGGTTTCTCTTAACTCACTGACAAAAGCGATAAGCGAGCTGTACAGAGTTACAACTGTGTTCACATTCATTTTTGGGGATTGAACTTTTTCACTTACAGCGTTAAACTCGTGTAAAACATGTCCCCAAAAGGCAGCCATAAATGTAGTTTCTTTTGTCAAGAGCTGGTTCAAAAGTCCTTTGGCTTTACTTTTGGTAATCGCACTCTCTTCTTCGCTGTCAAGGATGCTTTTCAACGCCTTTGTAATAGGTTCAAAATCTCGGTTTAGGCTTTTGCAGGCTTCTTCTCTCGCCGACCATCTAGTAATACTCAGTGACTTAAGAGACAGGTTCTTATCATGTGGTTTAAAATATGACTCAAGTACATTCCAACTGTGAGTAGAGGAAGAAAAAAAGTTGTAAAGCGATTGTAATAAATCAAAAAACTGCCTAGATAAAAGACAGCACTCTGCTGCACTAGATCCAACCAAGTTCAAAGAATGGGCTGAACAAGGCACATAAAACATCAAAGGGTTGACTTCTTTCAGTCTCACTTGTAGGCCTGAATACATTCCCGACATATTTGAGGCGTTGTCATAAGACTGGCCACGGCAGTTCTGAATATTTAGACCGCACACTGAGGGAAAAGTCTAATACCTGTTATGAAAAATATAATACCCCTTATAAGATTTCTCTATTAGTATTAGGACAGCCAACTGGTTTATAGACAGTATAAACTCGGTTTTGTTAAACATCTTGTAACAGTTATTAGACATAATATTATCTCTTATAAAATCGATATGCTACCACCATAATATATGATATCTGCAAGAAATCATTTCATAAACAATATGCATCTAGATTATAGCCAGTATTAAACAACTGGAATAAAATCAAAATTATAACAGTTACTACACAGCTTATTGTCTTTAGAAACGAATATGATTCTAACTAAGCATCCTCTTATTGCCTTTATAAAACTCGGCTTAACAATACTGGTTTATAGAACCATTTCTTTCAGTGCACACATTTAAAAAGTTAAGCACTGATTCAGCTAACTGCGCACCTGTATGGCCTTGATGTTTCAGGAAACCGACAAACCGTTCTTCTGGAAGTCCATTTTCATTTACATACCTTAAAATGAATGATAACTGGTCGCTATGGGTAGCATCGAGAGTGGAATCAATTATGATTGAAAAATATTTTGATTTTTTCAGTTCATTGAAGATTGTGTCAAGAACACTTTTACCCATCAATTCAATTAATTCTTCACACACTGTTGAGGAAAGGTACGATGACCTTCCTTGACCCGGGTTTCCGTATTTATCAATGTGTGATTTTAAAACTCGGCTATCAGTTCCAGGCACATCATAAAATTTCCATTATTTAGCGATCCAAATACTTCGTCATCTCCCCTAAAAGCAAGACCTCTTGATGCCAGTTGTTTTATAACACAAACAACCCTATGCAGAACTGTTCTCCAATAGTTGATCTCTTCCTCAACTTGAGAAATAAGTTGCTTATTAATCGTCCCGATTTCAGCAGCTCTCTGTTTGAACGTTAAGAAGCTGTCGAGATCAGCAGTTGAATTTTCTTGTTCTTTTATACGCTGTGAACCATGTTTCCAGTCACTGAACCCTTCATCTATGTACTGACTAGAAGTTTTGCAAAATAATTTGCACGGACCACAAAACACTGACCCCTGACTAGGAGAATACACTAAATAGTCCCTGTTAACTATATCTCCATTAGCAAGTATTCTTTTATACAGTGATTTTGACAGGAACCTGTTTTTTTCGGGGAACACCCTTTTAGATTTTTCAAAATCACAGTCTTTATTTTGCATGAAGCCATGTTTTACAAAGTATTCTCTAGTCCAATCGTTTACTTTCCAATACACTGGATCATTACTAGGTTTGGAATTATCAGTTTCACCAGGATTGGAAGCTTCAGATTTCAAAACTTCCTTTTGTTCATTATTTAGTAAATAATATAGCAATATTTAAGGAAGTAGAAGGTTCTCCGACCTGAATATTGGGCTTGAAAAAAGCATCAAGTTTCACAGTTTTGTTTATCAGATCAGCTATTTTTTGTTTTTTTTTCATCTGCTCTCCTTCTGTATTCAGCACTGCTTAACGTCTTTCGACCATCCATTTTTTTTAAGAAATAATAAGAAAATGAAACTTTCCACTAGGCCTACTAAATTTAAATTAAAACCTCGGTAGGGAATTAAATCTAACTAAACAATGTTATAAAGTTTTTTGCACTCCTGCACTACCAGGAAGCCGCCTGCTTAGGCGGAATTCGGGTTCCTCGAAGTGATATTTATTAATTTTAAGAATTCTTTGAAATAACAATTTTTTGGACTTGTTTAATATATAAAATTTTTGGAGTTATTGGAATACCGGGTGCGTCCCGGTTTTCATTTAATTATTATTTCACAGAGAAAGGATTTAACTAAATATAAGTAATAAACTAATCTAAGTTTGTTTGTATAAGTAAGTAAGTTTAAGTTTATTTTACAAAATATTCTATAGGGTGGATATAACGTCACCAGAATAGTATATAGTATAGTATAGTAATAGTATATAAGTTATAAAGTTATAAAGTGCTCTTTTAGTTCCACCCTTATGTCCCATAAGCCAACTGAATGGCTTGTGCGGGTTAGGGGTAGGAACGGACCAACGGCTTAAAGTCCCCTCCGAAGGACTATACACAATGGACAAACACAAATAAACAACCATACCCAAGTGGGATTCGAACCCACGACCTCTCGGCTCGTACCCAGGAGCTCTGACCACTACACCACCGGGAGATATATATATATATATATATATATATATATATATATGATGATATATATACATATATCATCACTAGAATAATATTATATATATATATATAAAAAAAATGTTATTATAATAACATTTTTTTTCTAAATATAGAAATTTTATAATAAAAATTATTATTTAAATTACAAAATTAATGTCCTAAATGGCATAAGATGCTATAATAGCATGTTATACGATTTTAAACTGTTATAACTTGAAACATAATTTTGGCCAACTTTTTAACTCGAAAAATAATTTTAGACAACTTTTTAGTACTTATACCCCTATGTGCGCCGTGACGCACAGTGCGTTACGCACTACGCAGAATAATAGTGTAGTCTGATATAAAATTATCTAATGTGTTAAAAAACTTCTCTTCGAACTTTTTATAGTTTTAATTAGTGTATAAAAATTCTGCATAAAACGCTCTTGATTTTTTAGCAAAGTTTTAACTGGCCTTCAAAATTTGCCGCCCTGGGCCCGTGCCTAAATCCGGCCATGACCGTATGTCTGCATGGAGATCAGGCATTTGTGTTAAATTGTCTGTGTACTGGTACACTTATATTGCTACTGTCTGTCTAAGTTGGCTGAACTAAGGAATTTTGTTGTTTAGATATTAATGAATTGTCGTACTGTGTGCTTTTAAAACAGATTTTATATTATAAATAATACTAGTATATAATATGTACTAGTATTATTTATAATATAAAATCTGTTTTAAAAGCACACAGTACGACAATTCTTTAATATCTAAACTACAAAATTCCTTAGTTCAGCCAACTTAGAGTGGACAGACAGTACTTTACTATTTTTTAATTTTTTTTGTAAAAAGTTTGTTTTGCTATATTTATTTTTTTATTTTTTTTTGAAATTTTACATATTTTTTTTTCCGCTGCTATATCTTAAGTTTATTAATGTTAATCCCTTCCCAGTAAGCACAAGCTGGCCGGCCCGAATACGCTTGCCGAATCGGCCGCGTGCGGCCCGACACATGTATTTGTTCCGGCGTGTAGACCGCGCCCTATAGCGATTAAAATAAATATCCGTAATTATTCAGAGATGTTGTATTTGGTTATTTCAAAAGGAAGCACAATAAAAAGTATTTATAAACACTGTTTTTGTGTTGTTATAAGGCTTATAAAAACACGGAAGCAATGTTTACAATATAGGTAAACCAACTTTATTTTAATTGAACAGAATAAAACAGTTGGGAGATACGTTTGGTTTGTGTAAATACAGATCCCTTGTTGATTAAGTACATAAGGTATAATAAGTGGTCGCTGGGGCCGTTGTCTGGAATTTTTTCCCAGTTGGTATAGGGGCTGGCTGCCGCTGATACAATCGATAAGTCTATGGGGCTGGGGTTGTTTCCCGGTTTTGTTAGTCTTGTTGTGGTGCTATCATTTAGTATTACTAGGTGATTGTCGTTGATGAATTCAGCGATTTTGTTTCCGTTTTGATTTGCTCTATGACTACCCCATGATTGGTGGTGTGCATTAAAGTCCCCTAAGAGAAACATGGCCCCCTCCAGGTCATTATTGAGGTTTTCAAGTATTTCCCTGTTGAATCTGTAAGTTAACTTACCAATTGGGCTTGCGTATACATTAGTTATATTGATATTACCCGTTTTGATAGTGATGTATTACTTTTTATCAATGTACTTATACCTGCATAACCGTCATTTTCGTCAATTCTAATCATTTCAAAGTTGTGCTGCCTGGCCTGGTTGTAGCCATGTCTCGTTTAGTAGTATTATGTCAGGGTTGTAGTCTCTAATTAGGATGATTATTTGCGTTGAAACTCCTCATGTTCCATTGAAGGATTTTAATTTTATTGATTATAGGATTAAAAGTTTGGTTTGGGAACATCTTGCACAAGGTTTTCTTGATCTAGGTCCATTTCAACAATTGTGTCGTTTAGATTTGTATTACTAATAGCTTTGATAAATTTTGATTTATTTTTTCTGAAAATTTCTGGAAATGGTTCATTGAGGCTTTAAAAAGGTCAAATTCTGCTGGGTAGTCATTTCCAGCAATAAACATGTTAGTTTTGGGTTCTTTCTGTGGGTCGGGTGGGTTTGGGCTGGAGTTTGCATATTGTGCATACCTGGCCAGCTGGGTGGTGGGGGAGTATTGTACCTCATTAAACAGCTCTGGTGCGCTTCCTTGTCATACCCAGGGGTTTCTGCTATTCTGCTTTTTTTTTAGTGGTGATGTCGCTCGTGCATACTGTCTCTTTGGGGCCCTTTTTTCGTTGGCATTAAGTGGTCTTTGGGTTATATTGATTAAATTGTCGTTAGCTTTTTTTAACGTATTTGGGAAGTCATTTGGATGTGGTACGTATTGTGGTTTGTTTAGTGCCTGATGGGCTTCGTAATAAGATAAATTGTCGAAGGCCATCATTTTTTTAATGGCCTGCTGTCTTTTGTATTCTTGGCATGCTTTGTCAGTTGATTTGTGTTGTTCACCGCAATGTAGGCATTTGGTTTCACAGTTTCCGCTTTTAAGACAGATGTCTTTGTTACGGGCGCAGATATTACATTTTTCTTTGCTTCTGCAATGTTTTTTTAAATGCCCGTAAAGCAGGCATTTAAAACACTGCGTTACCGGTGCAATGCATTGCACCGGTAACGCAGTGTTTTAAATGCATGTTTTAAATACATGTATACTGTTACTGTTATAAATGTGTAATTCTCTAGGTAGTGTATTGCCCTCAAAGGTTAAGAGTAAGGTGCCTGTGGGTTTAAAACTAATGGCAGGTTTTTTCTTACCTTCGTCATCCTATTCCTCTGTTATGATTTTCCTACTCAGTCGCCTTGCGTCCACTATTTTCACTTCAGATTCTGTGTGGTCGTATATTTCATCTACTGTCAGGTTAGGGTCGATTTTTCTAATAATGCCTCTGCATGATATGGCATTGAGGGGGATGGACAGTGTGTTGTAGTGTTTTGTTATTAGCGTCAATATATTTGTCAAATTCCACTGCTATTTTATTTTTCCCCTGGTTTTTCAGCTTGGAGAAATTTTTTATATTGTTATTGTACAATGGGCATATCTTCCCACATTTCCTGTTTTTTCAGACCCCTCCAAAGTGACTTGGTAGGGTCATTTGTCTTTAGCTGTAAAGAGTTTTCTAATTATAACCTTATCTTTGCTTAATTTATTGCTTTCGTCGATTATGTTGTTTCCTGCGTTTGACATACTTGTTATCTTAACCGATGCTTCGTTATTTGTCTGATTGTCGTCCGTATTCTCATGCTTTTTTTCCACGGATTCACCGTTATCACGTCAATCTGTTGGTGTACCTGCCAGATCTCTATAGCACAAGATACACTAGGATTTGCTAATATTTTTATGAATTTGTCTAAAATTAACACGGATTGCTTTGATGCTTGTTAAGCTCATGTGAATGCAACGTGATTTGCAGCGGAAGTATGGAAAGTTTACTTGATTTAACAGTTTTCTGTTTTATTTCAGGATTACCACCGTCGGTAAATCTAGGGTCCCTAGATTTTGCCAACTAAAACCCCAAATTTTTAACGTCACCAAATTCCGAATAAAAAACCAACCATAGTGTGACGATGGGGGAATTCGACCATCGATGATTGGGACTGTTGCGTGAGGTATGGTTAAAAAGCCAAACTTACATTATGACAGCTTTATTTAATCTGATTTCTCTATTACAAAAATGTGTGGTTTATATACAAACTTAGAACGTACACGAGCTATGTGTTTGATGATTATTGCAAGATTGCAGTATATTTCTATTGAAATGGATATAATACGTCTGCAATAATCTGAAACTTCCTTTGCTCGGCTGTGGGATTATAATTATTTAAATACTATATAATAAATTAATTAAAATAAATCAATAATATTTTCTTATTTTGTGACAATAGTTATATATTTTTTTATACAACTATCGATACACGCTAGTTTTTAAAATATCGAAACTATCGATAATATCCAATATTTATTGCAAAAATGGCGAATGCTCCGGGATATAATTCATACCAACAATCTTTTCCTGTAATTTTAGTTTTGCAAAAATGGCGAATGCGCCGGGATGTAATTCATTCCAACAAACTTTTTAATTTAAATATAATCAAGTTAAAATGATTGAAATTTACTAAGGATTTAGGTCATTTTGAAGGATTTTAAAGCTATTTTTTATTTTTAACACAAAAATCAATATTTTTGAATGATTTCTACACCTTTATCCAACAACCCTTATGTAGGAAAATTAGGGTACAAATGTTTTGTTTGATAAAATTCTAACACAATTTAAAGAGTATTTTTAGTTGTGCGCAAGATGGCGCCTTCTATACATTTGTGAAAATAACATAAAATACATTGTGCGGCATTAAATTTGCACCACAGTATAACGTTTAGGGCCGTTTGCATTAAATAATATATAAATATTTTTTTTAAATAATTTTATTGTTTTGAATTATTTTTTCAGTTTAATGATATAGTAGGTATACAAATATATTTTTTTACAATTTACTTACAACTCTTGAAAGTTCGATTGACACTTTGGGATTCAGGGACAGGTATATAATGAAATAAATAACAATATTTGTGTGATGCTTGCTAATATAATTTATTCTGTCATGGTACATATAAAGTACATATAAAATAATTTCGCCAGTCTTCATGCCAAATGGATTTGAAGCTAGCAATAATGTGAGCGTAAATTTTCTTGTAATGATTCAGTCGTAATTTCAAAAATCGAAAAGGTATTTAAGTTATAGAAAATCCCATTTCTCTCTCTCTCTTTCTTGTGCCATAGAACGTTTGCTAGTTGCAAATCACGATGACACGAATATCTACTGATTTTTTATAGTAAGTATTTTATTTTGTTCTATTTCTGGTGTCCACAAGCTAAATATTGTCAGTATTTCTTACATCACAGAATACAGCTAATATATAGAGAATGATAAAGTTAACAGCTGAATACATTTAAGATTTTCATGCATTTGTTGAGTTTGTCCAGAATGAATTAGCTATTAAAAATACATATACTTAGTTCTAAACGCCGAAGTACTTAAATACAGATTATATAAAATGTATGCCATGATGTGACATGGCATAGATTTTATGTGCCCGGGGGGTGTTGCGACTTTAAACCAATCAGAGCACGGCATTCTCCACAGCACACTTGGTGCGATGGACAATGCCGTTTCTGATTGGTATATTGCTTTCTATAGAGATCATTTTCTATAGAAAGTAAAGTTACACATTTTAAGTACGTGATTAAATAAAGCATTAGTCCTAATAATGACTAATACAAATACGTATAATTTAAAATGTGTAAGCAAGATATAAAACTTCCCATACTGCGATATACATATGAACCACATGTATACTATACGCTAATACAAAATTTATTGACATTGTTGAAGGCCAAAGATGATTTTCTAATATTTTGTGATTCACTTACATGGTGTTTGAACAATATGAGAAATTTTCGTTTAACTTAACTGTCGAAATTGACTAAAATTTATTGTCATTGCATGCACTATTAAATTAAATTTAATTTGGGAGTAAAAGGATATCATTTATAGTGTAAATTATAACTAAGTATTATTGCAAGAACGGTGAGTATGGATTCCAGCGTTTTCAATTTAAATTAAAGGTCTTTACAATTATAACTTCAATTGCAAAATGCCAAAAATAGTGCATTTGTTTTTTGCTAGTCAAATATAGAATTCTATAACTATAGTTTTTTTAAGAAATATCTTCTTATTGTCAATTTATCACAATGATAAAAGTTACGACGCCGATATATTTAGTAATTCAATTATATTAAATTCATTAATTGCTTAATGAGGTTCTCGTACTTTTTAAGAATGACTTTTTCAGTTTGGTAAAATTTGATAAGAGCAAAGCTCTACTGTACAGCAACTCTCGCGCTTAGCTTAGTAAGGAAGACTTTTGTTTTTCATTTTATTTATTTACTTTTATATCAAGATGCATTATACAGGGCCATCTTTCAAATAACTCCCACCGTTTATCCTACTAAAAATATCGAAATATTTTTCCTTTTAAAGTTTGCCGATTCGTTGGGGATATGTAGCTGTTACGAAATTTTTTGTTTCCCTTTGTATGGTATGTCGTCGTTTCATTTGATATGGAAAAATTGTGACAATAAATTTTCATTATTTGCAATACGTTGGATTTTTATAATGATAAAAATAGACGTATTATACCCAGCCTCTGAATAATATAATTTTTATCAAAACAACATCCACGGATATTTTTTATGAGGCCTTTTACGGTAGAAGTCTGTTAAGTCAGTCCGCACTCAATGCGAATTTAAGACTAAGATTAATTTATATTATTATAAGTATTATTAAAGAGATAACAACATCTGTTTTAATATATAGTTTTTTTATAGTATAGTGCACATTATTCATTTATAAGTCTTATAGTTTATACATCTAGATCTAACAAAACCTATCAATTGTATACGCTTTGCATGACAAAACTCTATGTTTACCCTTAAACAAAAGCGGAGAAAGCAGATGCATTTATATGTGGATAAAACATTAAGTCAATCTTTAAATATTTATGGACAACGATCAACTTTAAATCGCGGTTTAAACTAGGTACCCATTGTATCCAGTCTGAAAAAAAAAACACCAAAAATATTCAAAATATGCTTTTTTAGCATCAAAAGCTGTAAGGTGAAATTTGGTACTTACGTTAAAAGAACTGTCATCGAAAAAGCTGTATGATCTCGGCCGTGATTTCGAGTAGGAATAATCTTGAACATATCTGGGATTGGTCGACCAAGTTCCAGGGTCTATTCGAACAGGTCGTGCCGCTGGCGCGAGCATATCTGGAAAACTTATTATACCGCGATCGTTATGGTTCGGCAGGTAGGTGTTCCGATCATTATCTAAATCCTCCAGGTCGTATTTGTAGTTCATGTCGTGGTAGCCGCTACAAAGATCAAGGAGAGCGTCATTTACTACAATGTTAAAAATGTTTGTGAAATTACTACATTTTTACTAAGCAGTTGCATAGTAAAATTACAAAATGTTGTATTGTATTGCAATTTTAATACGCATTTGTTTTAAAATAACATTTTGTTATAGCCAAAGTACTAAACAGGTTCCAATTTTACAATCTTTTTGTTTTTGTCAGATACTTATAGTAATTTTACAATTCTGTATTGTAGAATTGAATTTGAAATTTTGTAAAATTTCTAAACATATTCGGAATTTAATTTTACTAAAATAATCAATAAAATTACTAACCAAAATTTGCTATTTGAATTACAATAAGTGTTTGGAAATATACAAATCATTATTTATTTTATACAACTTTCTGTTTGCATTTTTACTTTATTTCATTTTAATCATGTACACTCTTAACATTTTTTGTAAAATTCCAATTATTTTGCAAAACAAAGGATGAGAAAAATTACAAATGTACAGTGTATACCAATACAAAATTATAATACAATTTAAGAAATCTTCCAAGACATGTTGGGAAATCTATCAAGATAAGTTTTAATTTTACTCTATACAGGGTGTTTCAGAATAAGATGCTGAACCTTAAGGGTGTGAATCCTTAGTTGATTTTAAGAAAAAAAGTTTAAATAAACCTATGACCTAAACCTCTTAATTTTTTAGTTACAGGGTGTTAAAGTTTTAAGAAAAAAATCGTTTTTTTTATCATAACTTTAATAACTTCCTAGATATTTTTATAAAATTTGGCACACGGCTTCTAAGCATTAACAGTAAGTTTTTGATGTAGAAGATTTTTTATTTTTTTACCAGTGGCGTCCGTACAGGATGTGGTTTTGGAAAAATATTATGCACGCCACTGCTTTTTTTCAAAATAAAAATTATTTTTTAAATCCCCATTCATTTTAGGGCAAATTTGATTTTTTGACGGTTTTCGATGAAAAAAATAAAAAGCATTTAATGCGCATATTGCCATTTGACTATAATTTCTGAAAAGGAGGCTATAAACTTTGTTGTTAAGGAAATAGGAATGACAAAATAAATAATTTTGACAGATATTTAAGTACACGGCTTTTTACTTAAAATTTAAAAACGTAACACCTTTTAAACGTATAAGTACAATGGTAAATTTTACAAATGCTGAGTTTGCTGATATGCATTACATGTACGGACTTGCTGACGGCAATGTATTTCAAGCCAGACGATTATACCAAGGGCGTTATCCAAATAAAATAGTTCCGGATGCACGAACGATTTCAGGAACTTACAGAAAGTTATGTGAAGCGGGATCTTTTAAAACAAAAAACTACCTGAAAGGGGCACACCATACTGCAAGAACACCGGAAACCGAAGAAGCTGTTTTATATTTAGTGGATCAAAACCCTGAAATAAGTACTAAAAAAATTGGGAATATTTTAAACATTACTCATGTTCTAGTGTGGAGAATTCTTCATGATCATTTATTATATCTTTACCATATTCAACGGGTCCAGGCCCTACTTCCTCGGGATTTTCCATTACGCTTAAATTTTTGCCAATGGTTTCTTCAAATGGTTACCGACAATCCTCAATTTGACGCCAAAATTTTATTTACGGACGAAGCTAATTTTTACAGGAACGCCATAAGAAATTTTCACAACAATCATTTATGGACTGAAGAAAACCCGCATGCCATCATGGAATCCAACTACCAACAACAATTTTCTGTAAACGTATGGGCTGGAATTATTGGTGATTATTTACTTGGACCTTATTTTCTACCAGGCAGATTGAACGGAAATAGTTATCGCCAGTTTCTTGAACAGAGTTTACCAAATTTGCTAGACGACGTCCCTGCTTTTACCCGGCTTTATATGTGGTTTATGCACGATGGAGCACCTCCCCCATTTCAGTCTCCAGGCACGGGATTTTTAAATCAACATTATAGAAATCGCTGGATAGGGCGCGGAGGAACACAATCGTGGCCACCTAGATCGCCAGACCTAAACAGTCTAGTTTTTTTCCTATGGGGACATCTTAACCGCATAATAGTTTGTTGTGACACTATCAGAAATACTCCAGGAATTTTTCTAAGGGTACGAAACTCAATGAGGAGAAGAGCTGAAGCATGCATACGTTATTTAATGTTAGTTCTTTTAAAATTAAAATTAAATTTAATTTTAATGTTTATTTAATCATGGCATTGTTTTCTCAATATGCGCATTAAATGCTTTTTATTTTTTTCCATCCAAAACCGTTAGTCGTACGAAAAATGGTCAATAAATCAAATTTGCCCTAAAATGAATGGGGATTTAAAAAATAATTTTTGTTTTCAAAAATAGCAGTGGAGTGCATAATATTTTTCCAAAAATATCTAGACCACATCCTGTACGGACGCCACTGGTAAAAAAAATAAAAAATCTATTACATCAAAAACTTACTGTTAATGCTTAGAAGGCGTGTGCCAAATTTTATAAAAATATCTAGGACGTTAGTAAAGTTATGATAAAAAAACGATTTTTTTCTTAAAACTTTAACACCCTGTAACTCAAAAATTAAGTATGTATAACTCCTACACGCATTGTAATTTTACTAAACAGTTTCTAATAAAAAGCATCTCAAATTTACAAACGTTGTTTGTAATTTGATTTCCTATAAGGTTATGTAAAATGCATAGTATGTACCGATTGCGGCAATCATCATACATCTCGCCTCGGTTGACTTAGGTGGACAGTACACCAAATTGTCAGACATTAATAAGACTGGCGAGGTGAAGGTTCAATTTTTTTTAAATCTTTACAGTAATGGGTCAAGAGAGTTTCTTGAGGATACTAAGAAAATTGCAGGTTTTTTTTTCGTAATATAATTACAATACCGTCATTAATTAATAAATATTTTTAGTGTAATTTGTTGTACAAAATAACAATATTTGTATTGTAATATTGCGAAACGAATTTTCTTCAGTTCAGTAAAATTGTAAAATATATTTTGTAATTTTCTTAAACTAAGTTGAAATGAATTGTATCACGGCGTTCTCTAGAACGCCGTGATTGTATAGTATAATTACAATACACCATTTCAAAATTACTAAACATATTTAGTAATTTTTTAGCAAAATTACCATAGTAATATTACTGAACAAATTTTTAATAAATGCTTAGCGAATTTTAACAAACGTTTTATAATTTTCCCGAGTTTTATTACTATATTACTATAGTGTGGTGCGTAAAAACTTCCTTAACATGTTTAATCAAATTACAACATAAATTTTTAACAATGTTTATTTTTGACATTTAAAGAAATTCTAAAAAAGCAGTGAGTAATTTAAATTAAAATATTCGTCAAAAACTCAAGGTTTAATTAAATATATCGATTGATGAGAATATTCATAAAGAAGGATTTACGTGGAAAAACAATATATCTCATTTCAAATATCTTTCTGTGCAGCTTCTAAAATTTCATTCTTTTTATAATTAACTCAACGACATTGAATGTAAAATGAGAATCTAGAGAAAAATAACATTCGCACAATAGGTACCTTGTAAAAGTTGGGAAATTCGTATTCGTATTTAAACAAAAACCAAAGATTTATAAATTACCGATAGGTAAATAAAGTAGTTAAATTAAACACAATAAAATTACCCAATGGTTTAAATAAACTTGCAGGTTAATTTATATCGGTTATATAACCAATAAGTAAAAGCATCCTAAAATCGACATATTGTTTGCTGTCTCTTCAAACAAACCATATTTCATCTTTTATAGGAAATATTAAAAAAAAAAATGAAATTTATTGATCTTTTAAATGAATATTTGGTATTGCTGTTTCACCTATAATGCCATATGCATGTGCAGCATTTCAATTTGTCAGATTGTGGACTAAAAACTATCAATCAATATCAAAGCAAACAGAGAGAGAAAGTAAGTAAAAATTCGGTAGTGAAAAAATGTTAAATATGTAAACGTCATAATTTCGTTTAAAGTAAACATGGTTGCGGGTGCGGGCTTTTATCTACCTAATAACAATTTCCATCCCAAAAGTTTATATGCAAAATTTTGTATGTCAAAACAAATTCAGTTAACTTTCGGTAGGGTTTAATTTCGAAAATCCCACCTAAACGTTTAATGCCTTTGTTGAAAATAAAAGTAATTTGCAGAAGGCAATAAAGCAACCCCCCAAGTATAACGATAATTTTATTTTACCTGACTGCTGGCGAAAAATTATTACACCGCAATTTTTTCTGTAAATTACGTTGTAATTTGTGAATGTAAAAATAGCGAATGTTTACGATACGTTGACATTTAATCAACTTGCTTTTAATTTATTATCGCCAAACTTAATAAATTTTAACCATTTATTTTATTTAATTTAAACAAATGCTGTTTCTCGAAATTTGCGACTTTCTATAGAAACTGATCTTTATAAAAACCAAACAGAGCAAATACACTGAGAGAAATAAATCAAAAGTTTTAGAATTTTAGGATTTAATTTATACATTTTGTTGGCATAAACTTAAATTTTACTTTTAATTAATATTTTGAGAATGTCAAATTAAAAATGTTATTTTAATAGTACATTTTATTTAAATCAGTATATCAACACTAAAATTATATTGAATAAATATTGTTTCTATTAGTTAAATGATGTTCTTTTGTATTTTGACTTTAAAAACTTGGAAAATTTAGTCAAAATATCTTAGTATACTATAATAATAGAATAGAATAATTATAATTATTCTAAAATTGCAAGATATTTTGTTAAAATTTTTATCTTATTACTTTAATGTAGAGATAATTCAACCGAGAGTAAGACTGTTAATTTAACTCATACGAAGAGTTAAATGAATTGCCTAAATGTTGTGTATTACGTCGTTATATAGCGCAGCATGTTCTGCCCGTCTCTTTCTCTATCTCTGCCACCACGCCATTGTTCGTTCTAGTGTCGTTTGGGTGCAATTTTACATTGAAAAAACTTGGTAAGTGTGATTTTTTAATATATATTTTCTTTTACAATACAGAATGCCTCTAATATGTTTATTATTGTTTTGTAATAAT